CCAAGTAGCTGGGACTACAAGTGCCCAACATAATGCCCGGCTATCTTTTGTATTGCAGTTGTCATTGCTGTTTAGCTGGCCTGAGCCAGGTTTGAACCCCCCAGCCTTGGTGTATGTGGCCGATGCCCTACCTGCTGAGCTATGGGCACTGACCCACCATATGAGATTTTTTTTTTGGCTGGGGCTGGGTTTGAACCCACCACCTCGGGCATATGGGGCCAGCCCTCTACTCCTTTGAGCCACAGGCACCGCCCTGGTTTTATTTTTTATTTTATTTTTGCTGGGCTTGAGCAATTTTCCTGCCTCATGCCTCAGCCTCCATGTAGTTAGCACTGCAACCATGCAACATCATGCCCAGCTAATTTTTCTTCTTCTTATTATTACTTTTTGTAGAGACAGGGTCTCACTCTAGCTTAGGCTGGTCTCTAACTCTTGGCCTCAAGCCATCCTCCCACTGAACCCTCCCCAAATTCTAGCGTTATAGTTGTAAGCCACTCTGCTGAGCCTGGCCGCTATTTAGTAATAGGTTGATCCACTGCCAGTTTGTACAGATTCATGTATTATAGATGAGACAGGAATTATAGCAGCACTTGAACTCCTGGTCTCAGCTATAGTAGACCGGAGAGATTTGACTGCCCTCATTGATTTAGACAATTGTCAAACCTCCACCAGGGGCCACATTCTTTCTGTCTATCTATTTATCTATCTATCAATCATCTTTTTACTGTCTACCTATTTTACCCTAAAAAGCTACCTCTCTTGTTTCCTGCTCTGTTTGGATGGTAACATGTAACCCAGACCTGAAAAGAAACAAAAGCAGAACTATCCTCTGGTGGTCCTAGCATTCTGGATCATCAGTTATTACACTGCATCAGAGAAAAACATTCTGTTAGGTATGCTCAGAGGAGATGTCAAAAAGATTTGTTAAGTGTGAATTTACTTGTTGCTGTTATTAAATTAAGCTTCTATTTATTTCCTCCTTTTCCTTTAAGAACAAGTGGAGAAGGATATTTGGGCGGAACAGTTGCAACATGCTGACTCATCTTGGGTGTTGAGAAGACCAAAGCAATTTGAAAAAGTGATATTATATCAAGGGCATCGTGGAAAACAATTAAAAAGATGGACTCCAGATGTACATGATTTCAGAGACGCAATTTGACCGACGTTGCTGTGCCACGGGCGCCTCCCTCCCCAGCAAAGTTAACTCGCTGTAGTAGCCTTGATACCAGCCTGAAAGATTTTCTGTGTTTATGCTAACATATTAGCTGTTGATTTCCTTCTGTTTTGACTACCACCAGTGCATTAAAGCACCAGTACGTCAAAGGGCTTTAAGAATTTATTAGTTTTTTAGGCGATGGTGAGAAATTTACTCAAGATTCACTTATTTTTGTTTTAGGTAAAGCCTTCCAAAGGGTGTGCATTTCTAACTTCCATTTCAGTCTCACTTAACATCCAAAAAGAAATCTTTATTTCCAGGAGGCATTCTGATTGTAACAATAGTTTTTTTTTTTTTTTTTTCCCACAGGTAGAACATTCTGTGATATTCCACAGCATTCATTACGTAGGTCTGGGTGGTTTTATAGGAAATATTATTGAATGACTCTGCAGGCGAACAATGAATGATAGTTTCATAAACAACCTTTAGGAGGCAGACGTGGCTTCAGTTTAGCACTATAAAAACAGGTCATTATACAATAGCTCGTGGAAGGTGCTAAGAAAATACAAAGAACTAAAACAAATACACAAAATGTAACGCATCATAAAATAATAAATAAAATGACAAAAATAATACACAAAATAAAAGGGTTTGTGTAGACCTGGGTGGCGTCTATGTCTGCATGACTACAGGGAGAGGGTTAAGGGTGTGGGAGCGCATCTGGGATACAAATCCATCTATGCACGTATGTTGTGCTGAATGGAGCTTCAGAAGCCAGAACATATAATAGAACAGGTGGCTGACACAGGCTGCTAAAATTAGGTACTCCCATGTATTGAAGTATAACCTGAACCACCACTGCTTGTCTTAATATTTTCCCCACAGACTTGTTTCTGTAGCATAACGACTGCTTCTGGGTTTCCTTACATGTAAAAATTATTCATCTCAAAGTATGATACAATATACTTATGTTTCTACCAATTGGAAGAATTTTTTTTAAAGGAAAAGAATTATTCACCTTGACCACCTTTATTCAGGTACTGAAGGCACCTGTTTTGTTTTTACAAACCAAAACAGGATGGCCAGAGTCAAACACATTTCCAGGTAGAAAGAGTAGTTTGCTAGAAAAAACCACTTGCTGGAAAAGAGGTAGACTCAAGGTCTGTTGATGTGTAGGAAATTCTAGTGTTAATCCTTTGGGCATGTAGGCTTATAAGTTAAAATCTGGGACATATAAAATTAAGAGTCATAAGGAAAATATAATAAGCAGGCAGCTGAATTATTAGGTACTCTTTATTATAAAGCATAAATGGCTCTGTAATGACAGTACTCCTAGGAGCCCAGAACTGATAGGTACCAGAGTAAATAGTTTAACTATTTGCGTATGTTGAATAGTGTTTTGTCCTGTTACATTTCTGGGAAGTCTTCCTTATTCATTTTAAACATTGAAACTTTCTTTTTCAGATTAGAAAAAAAGTGATGTTAACCTATGACATCAGAAAATCTTGAAAATGCCTTGATAGTTTTTATACACATGCATTTCTTTTATTTGAGATAATGGGCACTTAGCAAAATGAAGACAGCAACCATCATGCCAAAAAATCGATTTTCATACACCAACGATGTGCCAGAAGATTCTGAATAGGGGATGTGGATTACAAGAAAAACTGGGCACAAAGTAAGGAAAACTTACAGAAATTTCAACACAATTTGCAGGAAAATGTGTTAGAGTGTAGGCTTTTTGTTCAAATAACCTTAAAATTGCTCTTTTAAAAATAAAATCTAAACCTTTTTAGATTCACCTTTATTCTTAGAAAAGGAATTTCACCATGTTTAACTTGTTTTAGAATATTTGGAAACTATAAAACTCAAACTGAGAAAACCAGTATTAACATTTTGATGGTTCCTTCCAGTTTTTTCTCTTCATTTCCTACTGTTCCTCTCCACACACACACACACACACACACACACACACACACTGAAATGTACACAATTGAAATCATATTGTTTATAGTCTTATATCCTATTTTTTCCACTTAACATACCATGTGCCTTTTTCCATGTATTAAATATGCTTTGAATATGTTCTTGGCTACATAAAATTCCATCCTATTGAAGCACCTGTTTTCTTTTAAGCAAAGACGCATGCCACGTTTCCCAGTCTTACTGGATTCTAAAAAGCCCAAGAAAATACCTTGTGTTGATCCACTATAAGCCTCTTTTAAGTTTCCATTTTTTTATTTCATTTATAAAATGCATCCACGGTGCAAACACACCTCTCTGGACATTAAATAAAATGCAGTTAATAAGCTCTCTTTCCCTTTGATGTTAAATATTAGTCACCCACTTCACCATTACAAACATACAGTGTCAACAAGTGTCATAAATTTTTTCCATTTTGTGACAGCCACAAATGAACTTCAATCTCTTAGGCACCCACCTTGAGATGCTTGAGATTATTATGGTGCAATTTTAAGCTTACCAACTTCAGAGTTTGTGCAAAGGCTACAAACGTACAAAAAGGACCCTTTTTACACTTGGTTTTGCGAACGTGAATAATTTTAAATTTAAATTATCTTGTTTCCATCCGTTTGTATATCTTCAAACAGGGCAACTGATGAAGTTTTAAAACAGTCTGCTAGAAACTTTGCTTGTGACCTCTCCAGGGCTGTAACTAGTAGAAGGTATATACTGTTAACACAGACTGAGCATACATGAATCCTTTAATCCTCAGGAGGGCACTGTGGAACTACTATCTTAGGGCTGTCTACTGTGGGGAGGTTCTTTGTTACTCAAATCATGAAGAGTGCAAGGCCAGGCCTTCACTTAAAAACAAACCGTAAAGATATTTCTAAAATGTGAAACAAAAATGTGTATGTCTTTATTTTATGAGTATTTTCACATTAAACTGAACAATTTGAACAATGATCAAGCTGTTTCTACCTGGAAAATCACTGAGGTAAGAGAACTGCTTTTGTAGATGTAGTTTTATAAACATTTGGAAAGAGCAAGCCTGAACCAGGTGTTTAATTTTATAATTTTAAAATTTCTAATACTCAAGAGTTCTCCGTCCAACACTGATAAGTATTTATTGTAAAACTAAGCAGCTTTTTAAAAAAAGTTCTTTTAACTGTTTCTTTATCTGTTTCGATAAAGTTGACTTTTTGGTGTGCTTCTCACACCTTACAAACCTCAGGGTTTTTTTTTTAACTCAAATTTGTTCATACTTTTCGAGGCGAAAAACAAAACAATGAAACCTTACTCAGATAAAATATTATAGGTTTATTTAAAACTTAATTCTCACCTTGAGTATGCAAAATACAAACTCCACAAAATGTTCATTTTACTTTGTAGTTTACAAATATACAAAATAGAAGTTTGCTTAAATTTATATTACATATTTATTAAGGCAAGGAACTATATAGAAAAAAACATTTGTTCTGCTTAAGGCATACTTGGGAATAAAACCATTGTACAAATTATTGCACATCTGAAACCACAGTGCATAACAGACTGTCTGCATAAAAACATTAAAGTAAACCAGGTGTATTTACCTGACTTAGGTCATAAATGTAGATCGGAAGACAAAAATAGATTTATTTTCCTTG